CACCTGTTGGACTTTCCCAGAGGCCGAAAGGTTCCTCTGGTCTCGATCCCGGGTCCGAACGTGCTCAAGTCAAAGACGCTGGCCGATGCCGCCGACCGGGGGATCTTGGAGTTGCAAGTGCAAATCGGGACTTTTGTTGCAGGCTCGGGGGGAAGAAGCGCGTTGGGAAAAATATGCGTTTGTCATTCCTTGTTTCATCATTATGGGTAAACGAAAAGCTTGTCCAATGTATTTTCATGTAACGTAAGACTTTAAAAAAGTAAATCATTTAATTGGCATAAGACTCCATCACAAAATTCTTGTCTTGCGGTTTTTTACCTAACTCTATCTAATTTTACTTTGATGAGCCCTTTTGATTTGTTTTCTTATTACTCTTCATTCTTTCTTTTCTTTCATTATTCCTGATTTCTCATTCTTTTTTACTATGCATTTTTGGCGTGTGGAGTGGGGTTCTGGTGGTGCATTGCCTTTGTGGCATCGAAGACTTATTTTCGTCAACTCAGTTTAATGTGTACATATAAGTTGTTACTTATCATATTTTCAAGAAAATAACTCAATTTTTACATCAGTTTGGACTATAAATAGTAATTTACAATTTATGTCGCTAAAACTAAGGTTTCCTACACACACCTACCTTAACATAATTTTAGAATTAGTGATCCTTTTCTTAGTATTCAGGAGAAAAAGTTAATGTTTGATTGTTTAAAGAAAACAGCAATTTAGGGGAAACTTTTTTGTTCGATACCTTTCTTTAGTCTCAATCGAAATAACTAGAAGCAATGCAATTGATTTTAGGATTAAAATTTATTAATCATTAGCAGTAACATTACTTCCAGTCTTGGAATTAACGAAAAAGAGAAGAGAAGAAAACATGAGAAACTCAAATGATAAAACTAAAAAGATATAATTAAAAAGAACCACTAAAATGGTAATTAAGGCAAAGGAATGAAAAGGTAAGAAGGGGAAATGAAAAAAAGAGATGGGAAAATAATATCAGAATATGATGTTGAAACGCTTTGAGAAGAACAAAGAGGACGATTTTCCTGCGATACGAAGAGAAATTACTGGACAGTGACTTTTCTGATGTGTTCTGCGCCCCCCCCCCCCTTGTCGTGT